TTCTACCTCCTACCTCCTTCGTCTCTCCTCCCACCTTTCATCTGTGCATGTGTGTACGGGATCTGGGTATCTTCTATGCATGACCCAGACCCCACCATCTCATGATTGTATGTGTGTGGAGTGATGCCATGTAGGTCAGTCTATGTGAGTCAGTCTATGTGAGTCAGTTCGTTATAAGCCTTCCACTGCATAAAAACTCATCCTATATTGGTTGATTCTTGGTTCTGCCCATACTCATTGGAGTATGTAACACCTGTGTTGTACCCCACCATGGATGACTATCGCATGTACGGAATGGTGGCTATGTCTATTTTTTGGGGGCCACAATTTCGTTTATTTTTCCCTCTCGGCTTCGGGAGAGTGTGTTCTTCCCGCATGATGATGACATCCGGAACAACAAAGCCCGGACTCTCAGCGGCAGAGCAAGCAGAAGTAGACCGCCGCCTAACCGAGAAAAAGAAAGAAAAGGAGCAGAAAAAGAAACAGAAAGAAGAAGAGTTGAGGAAGCAAACTCAAATAGAGGAAGAAAGAATTAAAAAAGAGTTGAAAGAAAAGTCAGAAAAAGAATGGCAGGAAGAACTAAAGACTATAGAAGAAGAAGATGAACCTCCTAACGACAGACTCATCAGACATCGAACTGACAGGGGCGAAAGCAATCATACAGGTGGGTTGAGTATACAGGTCAGTCCCTTAAACTGGTATGACCAGTATAGCTATTCCAATGAACGGATTGAAGAGACGGAGGAAGAACAAGATACGTTCATTGCAAAATTGGCATCCATGAAAGATAAAAGGGAAAAGGAGCTCTTGCTGGAGGAAAAACGAATTGAATTGCACAACAAAATGTTAGTCGCAAAGCGACAAGAGTTAGAAGAGAGAAAAAGACTGAAGGTCGAGGGTGAGAGGTTGCAAAGAGAATTACAGGCGCAAAAAGAAAAGCAAACAGCAACCGAAGAACAACTTGCCCTCTAGACAACAATTGTTCTCCATACAAAACAAGAATTGGCAGCGATGAACAAGACCTTGCAGAAAGTTGAAGCTCATCAGTATGAATTCGAAGGAGTTTGGAATACCTTCCTGCAGAGATCTGCAACAGAAGTTGACCAACATGTACAAGCATACATTGTAAAATTAGATGAGTATATCTGTAAAATTTTAACACCCGTCGTGATTGAGAAATTGGTAAGTAGCGGCGAAGGAGATGGAGGAGATGGAAAAGGGGATGGAGACGGAGATAGGAAGAAGAAGGGTGTGGTGCAAGAAGATGCAGGGGAAATCAGAAAGATAAAAGTAAAGGTGTCGTGGACTTACACCGGCAAAAAGGAAGAAAGTGTTTTGCATTGGATTGCTGCAGTTGAGTCCTATGTGTACGGGGACCGTTTTCCGTATTGGGACAGAGTTCTCATGGCCAGTTCGTGTATGGCCGAAGATGCAACGAGTTTTGCAATCTCCCTGCAGAAGGAAGCTAATTGTCAGTCTATGGTAGAGTATTCCCAGCAAACCCGTATTGAAGATTTCTTTAAAGCGACTTTAATCGCAATGCAGATGCGTTTGCAAAAAGTGAAAGTTTCGTGAAGTTGCAGTTGAATGTGGCTGTGCTCAGGCCCGATCTGCCTTAATCGGCGCGGTGCCTGGCTGGCACTTACTTCCCATAGACTTGACAGGTCGTTAGGCTAGGTTAGGGCTAACCCTAAATAGCGCTAATTACGTTAATCGTAATTAGCGATTCCCTAATTTGCGCAATATGGAGAAAAGTCGCAAAACCTAAAATTATAATTCAAAACGACCTAATTACTATGTAAGTACGAGAAAGAAAAAAAAAAATTGCAACTTGCGATTTAATAATAACAAAGTACAGGTGTAGATAATCAATCAATCAATCAATCAATCAATCAATGGTGAGTCATCCAATGCTGGTCTGCTCCGATACCGAACTGTTGCATACTCGTGAAACACAGTCATAAGTATGTCGCAGATTCCCAAAACCGACCAGATAACACAGAGTAAATACAAATACAACAGAAGACTTGAGAGACATGGACGGACTCTGACCTGACTCGGACTGCAAACGAACACTCTCAATCATACATCAGGGTCCTTGGACATAGACAAAAGGCCAGGGTCTGAGATCATCCACGAACGACGGGAGAGAGGAGAGAGACGAAGGGAGGAGGAGAAGGAAGATCTTGAAATGTCAGAGATAGCGAGACGAAGGGAGAGAGGAGAGAGACGAGAATCCGAAATGTCGCGAACACAGTGTCTCACAATGTCTCAGATATCGATCTCACGATGTCAAGTACATCTCCAAAGGAAGTCCTCAACCTGTACTCCCAATGTCGCTGTCTCCAATGTCATCCGAACTCATAACCATCCTTCATACTAATAGTAGCCCCCTAGGAGAACCCAGGAGTAGACTTAGACTGAGAAGGTAGGAGGAGAGAGAGAGAGAGCGAGAGAGAAGGGGCGGAGGAACAGAGGGAGAAAAGGCAAGGCCTTCCTCCCCGGTACCTGATCCGGTAGCTATGGCGCGATAGGGCCGCTGTGCTGCTTCCTTCTCGCCGCTGCGCTCGCCTTCTCCTCGCTGCTCAGACTAACGCTGCTCACGCTGCGCTAATTCTGCTAATGCTGCAGTGTTGTGCTAATCCTGAAGACTAACGTCCTATCTCACTAACCTCCCTATTGAGGCTGGTACCCAACCTTTTGTAGTGTTGGGCCGGCCTCCTACCTGCCAATACCTACCGGCTTGGACCGTTGATCTGATCAACGGTCCAGATTCAAAACTGGACTTGGCGCCTAAACGCGGCAGCCTCTGAAACTGCGCCGCCGATAGGTCTTATGCTGGACTGGTACCGGCTTTGTGGCCGTTGGCCTGGGCCTCTACCCCTGGCCGGCCTGAACCGCTGTACCCCTGGCCTACCTGGGCCTCATTTGAACCGTCGTCCCCTTTGGCCCACCCTGCCTACCTGGAACCGGTCCCTAACTGGGGCCCGTGTGGCTCAGAATGCCACACATAGCCGAGCTGCGCTGCTGTATGTTGGATAGGGCGCATGGTGGTCCTTGGGTGCAAGTGGCATCTGTGAGTTGGGGAACGAGGTTGTGAGTGATACGAGAGACATACCTGGTGCTTGAAGCGTGCAGCAGTGGTCGAGATCTGCTCGTACTTCGGGGAGCTGTTGACGTCATCAGCGATATTGTAGAGTAGGCTAGATAGGATCTGCCATCTGCAGTCTGGGCGCCGAGCGCTAGATAGGATATCAATATTGGTTCTTCGTTGATGATGATGATAAGACTATTCCAGCATTGTCAAGTATGAGCTTTTGGTGTGCTCTTATTTGGTGAAACTCGTGATGCAATTCTGCTTTTGGTTCGAGGTCACGACTATCTGGTCTCATGTGTATGATGTNTTGGTGTGCTCTTATTTGGTGAAACTCGTGATGCAATTCTGCTTTTGGTTCGAGGTCACGACTATCTGGTCTCATGTGTATGATGTTGTTGATTGTTGAAGTTCACTATTGCTCATCTTCCTTGCAATTTGGTATCGGAGCGGTGGTTCGGTACGCTAATCTGGCGCTTATCTTCTGTGTAATGCGGTACATGCACGCGGGGTGTACAGTGAGCGACCGTGTCGTGGGACGTGTGTAGAGGAGGGCGAAGATAAGTGGCGACCCAGGAGGTGAGGGGTATCGCCAGGAAGGTTGTGTGGTGATTATTGGGTGTTCGCAGTGTGATGAGAACTATCCGGTGTGTGATTGATGCTGAGGTGGAATGGTTGCACAATGCTGGTTGTGTCAAAGCAGTGATTGGTCATCACAATGAACATCGGGTCATCTAGTTAGAATATCTGTGGTTGGGGGCAGCTATTTTGAGGTACGTTGCACCTAACCTTATCTACCCTCTTCGACACTTCTTACCGTGGGGATGTGTGTTCTGTCTTGAGAGTCCTCTCATGTGAGGAGTCGTGTGCACTCAACCTTGAGAGTCGTCAGCCTTCACGTGGAGCATCTAGAAGGAGAGGGCGGAGCTATCTGAAGGGCCCTGGACGAAGCACTGGGTCACGGTCACCATGCCAACCCACCGGGAGTAGAGTACTCATGCTTTACTGCTTTGTCCTTTGTCTGTTTGCTGCATTGTAGAGGGGTTCTGAAGGGCAGGCCAGCCCGAGGGGAGAGACGAGACCGTGCGTCTATAAATAAGCACCGGCGGGATACCTTCCATTGGCTATGATCATCGTCCTGTTTGCGACGTTAAATAATTCCTGAGGACTTTGGGGGCCGTCCATGAAAACGCCTCCTGATCAGCCAATCGGTCGGTGTAAGGCTCGCTGCACGCGAGGATAAACACGGTGCAGGGCTGGCCAGCTCAGCAGGACTCAGGGGTGGGCCGTGTGCAGACCTTCAGACACGCACGCTATCTGGATTGCTCAGGGACGTTGACGACAAGACACTCAAGAAGAACTGAGGGAGGGTAGATTCCAGGTGATAAGTTTGGGCAAAATTCCATTTTGCAAACAGACCCAACCAACGATTCTATTTTTATTTTGACTAGTTAGATGTACAACCATTGACATCTTACAGACAACATAGTTTAGAACTGTTCGTTGTTCATTGTGCTTCTGTTTGCGAACTAGTCAAAGTCAAAGTAGTTTCGTTTGTAGGAATCTGAACTTACCTGTTGAACCTTAATGTATCTACTCTGACATAGTTACCGATTAATTAATCGGTCTGTGCATGACGCTGCGGTAGGCATTGGATGAGTGTTCTAGTGCAGACGGTGTGCAGTCTGTAGCTTATGAGCGACAGGAAGGTCCCACAACCGGACGACAGGCTCTTGCGATCGGCTAGACGCCCGGTAGCCCACTTGGCCGTAGGAGCAGAGGGTGACATGTTTTTGTTCTGCCAGCTTAGGGAGAGGCAACAACAGCAGAGGAGAGCTAGGGCAGCAGAGGCCAGTAGGGCGTTCTTAAGCGAAGCCGCAGCAGAAGCAGCCATGGCAACTTTTGCGCAGCAGTGTTTCCAGGCTAGCAGTTCAGGGACTGTAGGGTCAACGGTCGTGCACACCATGAGTCGGTCCACTGGCGTGATGGCAAGCCAGCCAATAGTGTTGACTCCGGAGGAGGTCACCATACAGCGAGCTGTTGATCGCGAGGCACAGCTACAGAAGGCTTTAGGAGAGATTAAGGCAAAAAAAGAAAGAATGATTAGGAGAAGAGCCAGGTTGCAGCGGCGATAAGCGGACATTAGCGAGTTAGAGGAGATGGACCCAGAGGAGTTGGATGATCAGGTGAGGACCCTGAGGTCGGTCTTGTTAGGTGTAGTAATGCAAGACCAGCAGACGGCGATCTTACAGGACATCCAAGAGAGTCTGGCCGTCTTGGTCGGACGAGCGCAGGCGGCACCATCACTGTCCGGGCCTGGTGTCTGGCCCATTGTACATCCTCCTCCTTTTGTCCCACCGGTGACTGGGATATCCCCATATACCGCTCCAGCATCGGTTCAGCCTTTCTCCCTGGGTATGCCTTTAACAGGCGGGTTCTCAGCAGGTCCTAGTTTGGAGGTTCCTGTACAGACAGTGTTCTCCCAACCTCCGTCTAAGGTTGTTGTAAGCGGGCAGCCTGCTGTCTCGCAGCCTGCACAACTGCAGGGTTCACAACCCCAGCAGATAGTGCAGCAGCCTGCACCACAGGGTCCACAGTCTGGATTGGTGCAGGTACAGGGACAAAGTCAGTGGATACCAAAGACGACCATTGCCGCTCATAAACCCTCCACAGGGGATAAGAGAGGCGAAGACCTCGACACTTGGTTGAGGGCAGTGCCGGTCTACGTCAAGTGCAAACTTACCTTGCCGCACGAGGAAGTGCTTGTGGCTACCTCCTATTTAGAGGGGAGTGCAGCACGATGGTTGAGTGGTTTAGTGCAGCTGCAGGGGTACGGTCATGACTTTCGCGCTTGGGCAGTCACCCAGAAATTGGATGACTTCCTTAAGCTGGTGGAAGACAGGTGGCATGATCCGCAGGAGGCCCATAAGGCTACTGACACGATCCCGACACTGCACACGAGGCAGTTTAAGTCAGTGAGAGAGGCCACCGACGCTGTAGAGCGTCTGATCTGTGTCCCTGGGTTTCGCTATGACCCCCAGGTTTTACTCACCTCCTACTTGAGATGCTTCCCTATGCCTCTCAGGAATCAGTTGGTAGGTGAGGCCAACATCAATATGCACAATTTTACCTTGTTTAGCAAAAAGGCCCTAGACCTTGAGGCAAAGATAGGGCATGTTCAGACACCCACGACGGATGGCGGGAAAAAGACACTGCCTCCCAACTGGAAGGCGAAGGTTCGCATTATGTTTGTCGATAACGATGGTTTAACCATCGAGTTAGATGACAACTTCCAGGAGGGAGTAGGTTTAGAGGCTGGCAGCGTAGAGGCTTCAGGGGGTCGAGTAGTTGCTGCCGTAGCTCAAAAAGGAAAGGCGACCGGTAGACGCCGTGGAGGTTCTCGGTCTAGGAGTCAAGTTGACCCCAATGCTCCTCCATGGGAGAAAGCGGGTGTTAGTGAGGACGTGTGGAGAGACCGGTACACCCGGCAAGCTTGCATTCATTGTGGTCAATATGACCATAATCAATTCAAGTGTCGTAATAGAAAGGTGACCGAGAAGCCCGCCTACGATGGGGCAGACGTTGGGATCCTCCACTCCCGTTGGTAGCAATGTGGCTAGCACTTCTGGCACTGCTCCGAAAAACACGTCGGGCTAGTAGGAATAGTAGTTGTTCCTGCTAGGGTCGAGGTGGTGGACACACCCTCACCATCTCGAGAGATGGCCCAAGCTACCGACTCCATCGTCGTCCCGCAAACACGTTCAGACCCATCGACCCTCTATTCGATGAATGTGTTTGAGTCCTTAGAGGAGCTAGAGGAGGAGTGGTCTAGATCAGACCCGCTAGCTTCTTGGACGACATTGGTCAAAGCCCCTAAGGGTGAGATGTTCGTGAGTGAGATAGTCATCGGCGGCCGCAAGGTCGAGGCCTATTATGACACTTGCTCGGCTAGAAACTTCATTAGTCGCGCGTGTGTTGAGAGGTTGCGCTTAGAGGGGCGAGTGCAGCGCCTGAGTCGACCTATGGAGTCGACCTGTGCCAACAAACAGCGCATGGTAGTCAACGACTACCTCCAGGATGTTAAGTGTTGTTTCCCGTACGCGAGAGGGGAATTGAGACATCGCGTCTCGTTCCTAGTGAGCGATGATCTCCCTATGGATATCTTGTTAGGTATGTACTACCTCTCCGTGGCACAGCCCCAGTTTGACTGGGACCGAAAAGTGGTCAAACACACTTTGCCAGGTGGATGGACCGCCAGATTACGTAAGTTCAAAGCCAGGTAGTCTGATTGAGTCCCACTGATGCATGTGTGCAGTCGCGTTCTATAATTATTATAAGCAAAATCCGGAGGAGGGTATGTATCTAGTCTATGTCTCTGCAGCAGGCGAGCTGGTGAAAATGCCGCCAGAGATAGAGGGAGTAAGTACCCTGATCTATTTGAACAGCCTACAGGGGTTGTTGAGAGGGAGGTCGTCCACGCGATAGAGATTAGCCCAGGGTCTAGCGTCCCAAAGGGTAGGATCTATCGGATGTCTGTAGGCGAGCTTGATGAGCTTTGCCGACAACTCAAGGAACTCGTAGAAAAGGGTTGGATCAGACCGAGTGTTTCTCCTTATGGGTCTGCGGTCTTATTTGTACCGTAGAAGGAAGGAACACTTAAGATGTGCATTGACTATAGGGGCCTCAATGCCATCATTGTCAAGAACAGAGAGCCCCTACCGCGCATCGACGATTTGCTAGATAGAGTGCAAGGGTGTCGGTACTTCAATAAGATAGATCTGAAGTCTGGGTATGTATTGCAATCCGGCCCGAGGATCAACACAAAAACGCATCTCAGACCAGGTACGGTCTGTATGAGTTTCTAGTGATGCCTTTCGGCCTTTGCAATGCTCCTAGCACCTTTCAGCACGCTATGAATCGGATATGTCATGACTACTTGGATAAGTTTGTCATCGTGTACCTCGATGACATACTTATTTTTAGTAAGACTGTCAAGGAGCACATTGCGCACTTAGACAAAGTCCTTAGTCTTCTTCGACAACACAAGTTCAAGATCAACGGTGAGAAGTGCGAGTTTGGCCGCACACGTGTCTTGTACTTGGGTCATGAGATTTCTGCGGAAGGATTGAAGCCCGATGAAGCGAAGGTGGCCAGCATTCGTGACTGGCCGCGTCCTCAGTCTGTGACCGAGATGAGGTCCTTCTTAGGGATGACAGGCTACTACCACAATTTTGTTCAGAATTAGAGCATAGTGGCCGCCCCTTTGACGGACCTGACTCGCCTTGACACCCCATGCCGCCCCTTTGACGGACCTGACTCGCCTTGACACCCCATGGGAGTGGACAGACAGGTGTGAGGCTGCTTTCAGACAATTGAAGCATGCGTTGACACACCATGAGGTCTTGAAACTTCCTGATCCTGACAAACTTTTCGTAGTAACTACGGATGCTAGCCAATATGGCATAGGCGTACTTGCGCAGCAGGAGGGGAAAAAGTTGAGGCCGGTAGAGTACATGTCCAAGAAGATGCCCTCTCAAAAGCTGGCTAAGTCCACCTATGAGAAGGAGTTGTACGCGATTTACAAAGCGCTCACCCACTGGAGGCGCTACCTCCTTGGTCGCTTCTTCTATGTCAGGACTGATCATCAGACCCTGAGATGGATGAAGACTCAACCGGTACTCTCTGACGCTTTGAAGCGTTGGATCAAGTCATTGAGCAGTATGGCTCTGAACCCCAGTACATCAAGGGGGAGTACAACAAAGTTGTTGATGCGTTGTCGCGTAGACCAGACTTTCTCGGTGCGCTGGTCATTGAATTTGGGTTTGAGGACAATGTTACTCAGTCTTTGGTGGATGCCTATCGTGAGGACCCGTTTATGGCCGAGATCATACGCAGACTCGAGGCGAAAGACAAAGAGACTTCCGCCGAGTTTGAGTTGGTCAACGGCCTGCTGTTCCTTGAGAAGGCCGGGAATAAGCGTCTATGTGTTCCTAATAGAGAGTCTTTGCGTAGTTTATTTCTAGGTGAGTGTCACGATGCCACCGGACATTTTGGTTTCAAGAAGACTGCAACTAATCTGTTGCAGCGGTTTTGGTGGCCCACAATGATGAGAGATGCCAAACTGTATGTCGAGACTTGTCAAGTTTGTCAACGTGACAAGCCCCGGACACAGGCTCCTCTTGGGTTGCTCAAACCCCTTTCGGTTCCGGAAAGGCCTGGTGCAAGCCTGTCCATGGACTTCATGGATACGCTAGTCACCAGCAAGAGTGGCATGAGGTACATCTACGTCATTGTGGATAGATTTAGTAAGTATGCTAGGTTAGTGGCCATGCCGGAAACAACAAAGACCGAGTACGTTATCAAGCTATTTAAGGAAAATTGGGTTAGAGACTTTGGCCTGCCGAAGTCTATAATCAGCGACAGGGATGTCTGATTCACCAGTGAACTGTGGAAGGCCGCAGCTGCAGAACAAGGAATGCAGCTGCAGATGACATCTGGAAATCATCCGGAGGCAAATGGACCGGCAGAGTAGATGAACCGCCCAATCAAGTGGACTGGGATGAGAAGCTTGCTCTGATTGCCAGCCTGTATAACAACGCAGTTCATAGTGCCACGGGCGTAAGTCCAAATAACCTACTTCTAACGTTTAAACCCAGACTTCCCCTTGACTTTCTGCTACTTGAGAACCAGTCTACTGCTGCTCCAGGCACTTTGGAATTCGCTTATAGATATGAGAATCATATGCAGCACGCAGTAGAGCACATGCACAAAGCACAGGCGGCGATGATCGAATCTGAGAACAAGCACCGCCGCCCATCTATGTTTCAGGTAGGGGACAGGGTCTGGGTCAAGGCTTCTGAATTGGGACAGGAGCACGGGATTTCCCGAAAGCTCATGCCACAGTACTTATGTTATTCGGATTCTCGGACATTTTCGCACTTCTAAGTTTGCACCTTTCAAAGAAACTGACCAGTTCCCTTCGCGGTCGTGGGAGGTTTTAGATATAGTTGGGGATGAACCAGACGGACCTTCATATGTTATTCGGATTCCCAGACATCTTCGCACTTACCCTGTTTTTCACGCTTCTAAGCTTCACCTTTCAAAGAAACTGACCAGTTCCCTTCGCGACGCTCAATGCTGCCCCCAACCATGGATGGAGAGGTCGACATTGATGAAATCGTGGATCACAGAGAAATGCCAGTTCCAAGACCGGTCGGCAGGTGACGTCCTCCAAAACCGAAGCTGCAGTACCGAGTTTGGTTCAGATATCACACTGATCCAAAGGAGGATAGGTGGTTCACAAGGGAGGAACTGATGCAAACCGCTCCACAGGTTGTCGCTCACTATGAGAAGTCTTTGCAAAAAGGAAAGCGTCAGATAATCGAAGATTGAACTTCTCAGAGGACTAGCGAAGTATGGAGGAGGGAATGCGAGGCATAGGCCTCGATAAGCCCTACTGGGCCCCTACTTGCAACAGGTCGGCCGCCCTAAGTGAAGGCAGGCCCAACAGACGACAAGAGGCCTATTTTTGACTACTTCGCAACTGGGGAAAATTCAGGCAATTGCGCAGCGCCAGTTGGTTGAAGGCGCCCAGGCCCTAGCCTCCTTTATCGACTGTATCTAAGTCAGGCCCTGGGCGAGATACGCATCATAGGCCCAACTCAGACACGGGCAGTTGGGCCCGGGTAACTGTCGGTGGCCCTGGGCCTGATTCGTTTGGTCTGAGGCTCAGCCTCCCTGGGCCGACCGGAAGCTTCTGGGCAGGGACCCAGCACAGCCAGGCTGCACCCAAGCAGGCTGGCCATTTCCATTTAGGAAAGGGCCAGCCTACGCATTCGACATTCGGGCACTGGCTGCTTTGTGCTCAAGCGCTGCTGCGCTATCACCTGCCAGGCTCACGCGCTCACGCGCGAGCTGGAAGGAGCAGGCAGCCATAGCCGAGCTGTGTTGCTGTATGCTGGATAGGGCGCATGGTGGTCCTCGGGTGCAAGTGGCATCTGTGAGTTGGGGAACGAGGTTGTGAGTGATACGAGAGACATACCTGGTGCTTGAAGCGTGAGGCATTGGTCGAGATCTGCTCGTACTTCGGGGAGTTGTTGACGTCATCAGCAACATTGTAGAGTAGGCTAGATAGGATCTGCCATCTGTAGTCTGGACGCCGAGCGCCAGATAGGATATCAACATTGGTTCTTCGTTGATGATGATGATGAGACTATTCCAGCATTGTCAATTATGAGCTTTTGGTGTGCTCTTATTTGGTGAAACTCGTGATGCAATTCTGCTTTTGGTTCGAGGTCACGACTATCTGGTCTCATGTGTATGATGTTGTTGATTGCTGAAGTTCGCTATTGCTCATCTTCCTTGCACCATTCTCAATTCTACTCATACCCCATTGCTAATCACAGCCTGCAGGTGTCGGAAATCCAAAACAAAGATCCCTAGTGGCAACTGTAGAAACCTTCCGACTGAGAAAAGTGAGGGTTTGTAAGGCCACACCCTGGAAAATCTTCCAATAGGACCTCAACATTTCAGACCTCGAATTCGACCCGAAAGAGTGGGTTGGGAAGCAGGGCAAAACGAGGAAAACGAGAACGATATCTGAATATGATGTCAAATTCGGTTATGAGCCGGGACTACAAACCAAGAATCCGGACCCCAGACTCCAAGGAAAGTGGAGGGAGATCCTGAATCTTGACCCCACAGACCCCATTTCCATCCCATGGACGAAGTACCTGTCTATAAGATCGGCGATAATTTGAAGCATGCAATGGCTCTTGGCGCACGCATCGCTACCGGTCATTCACTGGCTCCATAAGAGGAGGAAACAGACGGACCCAGACAACTCTGATCTTTGCAAGCTTTGCACAGACAACACCCTGGAAGATATACCGCACTGCCTCCTGTACTGCACAAAAGCAGCATGGATATGGAACAAGGTGCACGACCTTTGGTTCCTACTCTTCTCATCACCCCCTCCGCCCACAACTCCCCTTAACATCCTGCTCCTCTTCAACAATACTAACATTCTCAAAGGCGGCAAAGGAAGTTTGGTTTCATCTGCTCAGAAAGCTGGCCCTTTGGGTAATCTGGAAAAGGAGATACACCAAGACTAGAAAGGCAGATCAGAAAGGACAGCCAGAAAGAGACGGGCTTTCATGAGAAACTGGCTGCTACAGGGAAAGATCACAACCGTGACAAATAACAAAATTATTTGGAAGAAATGGCATGGCACACCGCCAACAAGGACGGTGACCCAGTGCTGGGCAAACTGAGATTCTCATCTCATTAGTTTAGACAACTGTCCTCTTTTCTTGCCAACCGACAGAGTCACATTAGATTCTAAGAGGAAAAGTGGCAGGGCAAGCAGACAGTCAATCGTTCGGATATGGAGCAATCAATGCTGGTCAGGGTTCCTTAGG